GACGCCGGCGGCTGCTCCAATTGTACGGCGGCGATGGCGGCGGGCTTCCGGCGGCGAAGAAGAAAGGAGAAGAAGGAGAAGAAGAAGGAAGAAGGAGAAGGAGAAGGAAGAAGAAAAGGAAGAAAAAGGAACGGACGAAACGAAGGATAAGGTTTGAGTGGCTGAGGTTTAGGTTTATTTAATGGTCCCATTCCAAAAAGGATTGGGCTTCGGACCCAAAATACCTGATTAAATGGTCATAACTTGAGTTCCATAACTCTGATTCGCGAACCGTCTGAACCGACGCGATCACAAAAATATTTCCTACGAGATGACATAAAAGTTGGGCTTAAAATCCAAATTATAATTTTTACCCCTTATTGGGCCCAATTCGTAATCAATTGCTCTAACAATTTAATTAATTCTTTTGGGCCAGGTTTCGGGGCGTTACAAAACCACATCATTTAAATAAAAACCACGGCTAGCCAAGTCTATACCGTTTCACATGGTTTTTACCAAACGACCAAAAACGAGAGGTGGTTTTTGAAGAGGTTTTGTTGGAAAACTATTTAAATGTGCCCAGAAGTAAAAACCAATCATAAAAAGTTGAAAACCACTTGGTTTGTTTGGACGCCAAAAACCAATGCCGAATGCCGGTTTCTGAAAGCCGAATGTCGGATGGCTTGGTTTTTGGTTTGGGCGAACACCAAGTGTTTTAGACTTATTTAAAACTTATGAGAAAAATTTTTTAATATGCAAAAAGGTATTTTAGTGCAATGAGCCTAGAGAGCCAAGTGTAGAAGTTTTTGCCGGTCTTGATCACATTAAGACCGTCTCACTAATTTCTAATTCTTCGGTCTTGGTTGTTGGTTCTCATTTTCAATTCATCATCACGTCATATTTCTTCGCATTTGATTTGCTCAATTTGCTCTTGTTTTTGTGGCAATTTGGCATTATCAAAACCTGTCATAAAACGAACACGGTCTAGTACGACGTAGGCGTAAACTCGTGTTTCAACAATTTCCCCCTTTTTGATAATGGCAAACAAGACGGGGATATGCATGCTAAGGGATATTTGAGTTTTATGTAAGTGTGAGAATAAAAGTTTCCCCTTAATTTATGCTATAAAAAAATTGTCGTTTTAAAAGTAGACGTTTTAGAAGTGTTCCCCCTTAGTATATGCATGGCCCTTTTCTTCCCCTTTTTGACATTAACAAAAAGATAAAGCATAGCTTTTATTTATTGAATTTGGAAAAAACGGAATACAACGGAAGCAATTAATTAAAGAAACATGACAAAGTAAGAGAAAAAGATAGAAAATCTAGGTGCGGTCTAGTCTTTGTCTTCTTCCTCTTCGTCTTTGGTTTCCTCCTCATCGTCGTGGACGTCCATTGCATCACCATCAATGGCGTCGTCAAACTCATCCTCGTCCAGGGAGCTTGACGGGGCATAGGAGCCATCCTCTTCGTCCTCATCACCATACTCTTGCCCAAGAAACGTGCATTAGTACGGTGGGGGGACGTAGCTAACGCGTTGGAAGTACGCGTTCATGGCGTATCCTTGGTGTTGAATAGCCTCGTCGAGCCGTTCAAGGTACCCGCCCATCCCGCCGACCTTGAGGTTCAGCCGGTTGAGGGAGTCGGCGATGGAGGCGAGGTTGCACCGAGCTTGGGGTTCGGCTGGGCCAGTGGCAGGGCGGCGTCGTGCAGAAGTGGCAGGGCGGCATCGTGCAGAAGTGGCAGGAGTGGCGTTGTCTAACCGCTTCTTGAATGTTTGGTCGCTGATCGTCCAAATCTTTGTGGCCTTGGTGAGCGGACCAACGGTGGTGGTAACCTTGAATCGTTCAAGGATGTCCATCACCAAGAAGGGGTACGGAAGGAGGTGATCGTGGGCGATACAAGTGGCATCCGTCATGTAAATCATGACAAACTTCGCCCGATTGATCGGAGCCGAATGCATGATTGCATGGAGGAGCTTGAGGTCCTCGCCGGACATAATCGTGTGCCCGTGCTTCCTTGGTTTGAGGATGCGGGACACAATGTAGAGAAGGAGGCAGCTCTCGGGGGGGTCGCGGAGTGGATGGTGGGGCGGCCCGTGGCGTGGCAGATGAGGTTGGTGATGTCGAGCTCGTTGAGGACTAGGCCCTCGTTGTTGAGCACGCAATCTTCTCCCCCTTAGTTGGAGATGTTATCGCCTTGGTAGAGGAGGCCCGCGATGCGCCCAAGTTGTTCCACGTTGAGTTCAATCGGTGTTGACTTGACAAGGCTATAGATGACGTCGTCCTCATGCCGGAGATTGGAGTAGAAAACCCGAATCAGCGCCAGGTTGATCTCCTTCCGAGCCTTGGAGACGAACGGCCATAGCCCGGACTGGTGGAGCTGCGCGTCGAGGAAGTCATATCTGAGCATCTCCGGGAGTCGCTCCGGGAGAATCCGCGGGGGAGCCACAACCCGCTTGGAGAAGAAAGTGAGAAATCGGGTGCGCTCCTCCTTGGAATCAAACCAAAGGTACGAGCCGTCTTCATAGTAGAAGCGTTCGTCGGAGGTTGTTGTAGGAGCCCGGGATTTGGACTTTGATTTCCCGGAGGGTCCAACCCTGCTCTTGTCTTTGCCCATTTTGCTGAAAAGATCTCAAAAAAAGTGTAGAGATGATGAAATATGCAAGGAGATGGAAAGATTGGATGTTTGTGTGTGTAAAAGTGAAGGAAAGGGGTCCGAATATATAGGGGAAAAGGTTCCCAACGTTCAAAAATCCAAAAATATGGCTGTTGGAGCATTTAATTAGGTGCCAAACAGATATGTTTTTGAAAAATTCAAGTTGAACAGCGATGTTCAGTAGGCAACAGCACTGTTGAGGCATCGATGTTGAGCTTCTGTACATCGTTGTTATGCGATAAGTTTAAAAACGAGTTTACAAATGGACAAGGATGTTCAATGCCCTACAGCGATGTTCCAAACCTTTCTGGAAATGAGTAAAGGATTGAACACATGAGAACAGCGTAGTTGGGTTTTCCTACATCGCTGTTTTACAGTAAGGAAAAAATTTGTAAAAATGATCAGCGATGTTGCAATCATGTACATCGTTGTTAAAGAAGTTTCTGGTTTTGATTGGAAAAAAGAAGTGTTTGAAGTAACACCGATGTATATAAGGCTACATCGATGTTGAAAAAGTTTCTGGAAATCAATGAAATAGATAACAACCTATGACAACGATGTTTATGTATTATACATCGCTGTTTGTCCAAGTGATGGTTGACGGTGTTTTCTTCAACAGCGTTGTTGGTCATTTTGACAGCGCTGTAGGAACATCGATATTCTCCTCTGAACAGCGATGTTAGCATGGTTCCCCCTGACGTTGTGAGCGGGGTACCTGCAAAAAATAAAAAGTTCTCCGATGCTCAAGTTAGTAAACGTTTAACAAGATAAAATGCACAACTTAGGTCATCGTGGAGTCAAGGATTCTGAGTTCACTTCGAATGCGGAAGAACGACTCTTTCTCTAAAGGTTTTGTGAAAATGTCGGCTAATTGGTTGTGTGTTTCAATAAACTCAATTTCGACATCACCTTTGAGAACATGATCTCTAATGAAATGATGCCTAATGTCAATGTGTTTTGTCCTTGAGTGAAGAACGGGGTTCTTTGTTAAGCTTATGGCGCTAGTATTATCACAACGAAGAGGAACGTGATTGATGCTAAGGCCATAGTCCACGAGTTGTTGCTTCATCCAAAGGATTTGAGCACAACAACTACCGGCGGCTACATGTTCAGCTTCGGTTGTGGATAACGCAACACTGACTTGTTTCTTACTGAACCATGAGACTAAAGAACTACCAAGTAGGTGGCATGTCCCCCTCGTACTTTTACGGTCCAACTTGCAACCAGCAAAGTCCGAGTCAGAGTAACCAACGAGATGACAAGGTATTTCATGATATGTTTTGGGATACCACAGTCCAACGTTAACCGTCCCAACAAGGTATTTCATGATATGTTTCACCGCCGTAAAATGCAATTCCTTCGGACACGATTGATACCTTGTGCAAAGGCATACGCTGAACATGATATCCGGCCTACTAGCAGTAAGATAAAGAAGGGATCCGATCATACCTCGATACTTTTTGACCTCTACTTCCTTACCTTTCTCGTCTTTGTCAAGATGGTCAGATGTGCTCATCGGGGTCACCATGGCTTTGGCGTTGTCCATTTCGAACGGTTTTAGGAGTTCTTTGCAGTACTTAGTTTGGAAAATGAAAGTGCCATCTCTCATTTGCTTCACTTGAAGTCCCAAAAAGAATGTGAGCTCGCCCATCATTGACATTTCGAACTCTCTAGTCATTAACTTGGAAAATTCCTTGCATAAAGACTCGTTAGTAGCACCAAAAATAATATCGTCTACATAAACTTGAACCAAAAGGATATTGTTGTTTTTACTCTTGATAAAAGGTGTAGTGTCAACCTTTCCCCTTTGGAAACCACTATCCAAAAGAAACTTACTCAAAGGTTTGTACCAAGCACGAGGTGCTTGTTTAAGACCGTAGAGCGCTTTCTTGAGTTTGAAGACATAATCGGGGTACTCAAAGTCTTCAAACCCAGGGGGCTGGTCAACATACACTTCGTCTTGAATAAAACCATTGAGGCAGGCACTCTTAACATCCATTTGATAAAGTTTAAAGTCCATAGATGAGGCAAAAGCAAGAAGTAAACGTATAGCTTCTAAACTTGCTACGGGGGCATAAGTTGTTGAAACACGGGCTTGTCACGTTTTCGTACTAAAGCCGTGTTCGTTTTTGTAACAGGTTTTGATAATGCCAAACTGCCGTGATCAAGATAAGACATTTAATATACAAGGCGAAGAACGAAGATAAGAACAAGAGCTATACGAAGACCAAGAACGAAGACCGTAGTCTTAGTGTCGTTGAGTCGGTCTCATTTGTGATCAAGACCGACCCAATCTTTACACCTTGGCTCTTTAGGCTAAAATCTTTTCATTGAATTTATTACATCATAAAAATGTTTTTAAAACATGTTTAAGTCAACAAAATCACTTGGTGATCGCCCAAACCAAAAACCAAGCCATCCGGCGTTCGGCCTTCAGAAACCGGCGTTCGGCTTTCGGTTATCGGCGTTGGTTTTTGGGGTCCGAACCAACTAAGTGATTTTCAACTTTTTATGACTGGTTTTTACTTCTTGGCATGTTTAAACAGTTCTCCAACAAAAACACTTTGAAAACCACCTTTCGTTTTTGGTCGTTTGGCAAAAACCACGCAAAACGGCATAAACTTGGCTAACCGTGGTTTTTACTCAAATGACGTGGTTTTTAAAGTGTCTCACTTGATTTCTTATCCAAATACATCAAATAAGTGTTTTAAACACTTGGTTTTTATTATGGAGAACTTTGGATTTTTCGGTCGGTTTTTGCATCGGTTGGCAAGGCCGTGGTTAAGGCAAAAACCATAGGTTTTTGGCTAACCACCCACCCAGTGATGGGAAGAACATCCCTTCGATGGGTAAGCGGCCCCTTAGCCAAACCAACTTCCAGAACCATGCCAAACAGCGATGGGAGGTTCTACCCATCGCTGTTAAAGCCTTGGTCCAACATTATCACAAGGCAGAATGCCCTTACCCAGCAATGGGAAGCTTTACCCATCGATGAGAACCCAGCGATGGGAAGGCTTAACCATCGATGGGAAGGCATGACCGTTGTAAGTCATTTAAGGTTGATTCTTTCCATGTTTGGAAGTCAACCTCCCACCCAGCGATGGGAAGCGTGTACCCATCGATGGGTAGGTGACCATTGGCTTCAAAACTGAAGGAAAATTGGCCTACCAGCGATGGGTAAGGTCCATACATCGCTGGGAAGCCAATATCCTGCAGATCCCAAATTTATTCAATCCCATAAATCAAGCCAATCACCCCTTTAATGTATTGGTCCGTTGGAGCCTATTTTGGCACTATAAAAAGGGGTGTTAGGGTCTGCTTTACACATCAATTCACTTCACAATATTCATATTATCATTGCATTCAAACAACATCATTTTTCATAGCTTTCTAGAGCCAATTTGTGAAGTTTGAGTTTTTCTTGAGCGTATATAGTTTACTCAACATCTACTCTAAAAGAGAGCCTTGTTCTTGAGTGTCTTAGCGTTGTATACACGTTAAGGGAAGCTTGTTTCCCTTGGTTGTACGAAGGAAAGGTATTTTCCTTCGGGTTGAAGTCTTGGAGTGCGGTATCTCCGAGCAAGTGTTGTTGAGGCTCGTGGGACTCGAGTTCTCAGGTTGTAACGGTTTGTTAAGCACCCGTAAGCTTAACGGAAGTAGTGTAGCTCCAGAGAGTCTCTCGGGAGGCTGGATTAGCCACAAGTTGTGGTGAACCAGGGTAAATCTTGGTGTGCTCCCTTTACGCTTTCTACGCTCTTTATCTTTCACGTTCTAAATTTTTTATTCCTGCGATTTCTACGATCAAACGCTATTCACCCCCCCCCCCCTCTAGCGTTGGTCACTTATTCTAACATAAGTTTCTTCAAAATCAATGCCATCTTCTTTATTGTAGCCTTTAGCTACGAGCCTAGCTTTGATACCACATGTAGGACCTCAGGCGCTACAAACTCTTCTAAAACTAATTGGTGTTAGAAGAGGCGCATACCCTCGCCTTATAGTGCATTCATCAAAAAAGCGCCCACGACATTCGATTGTGACTTGGCCCACATAGCCTCCGCCACGGAACAATTGCTGCACACATGGCCAACAATCTCCCCTTCAGCAATTGCTCCCGCTGGGAATCGAACTCGTGACCTTGGCTCTGATACCAATTGTTAGAAAAATGTCCCAACGCTAGAGTAGGGGGTGAATAGCGTTTGATACGAAAGTAATGCAAGAATAAAGAATTTAAAAACGTAAAGTAAAAGAGCAAGGAGAAGGCACGCCGTTTTTACCCTGGTTCACCACAACGTGTGGGTAGTCCAGCCTCCCGAGAGACTCTTTCGAGCTACACTATCAACGTTAAGCTTAACAGTGCTTAACAAACCCATACAACTTGAGAGTTCGAGTCACACGAACCTCAACAAACCTTCGAAGGAAATAACCCTGCTTCGAAGTACTCAAGAGAAAAGCTTTCTCTTATCAAGTGTCTAAAACACTAAATCACTCAAGAACAATACTTTCTTTTAGACTGGATATTGAGTAACTAAAAACACTCAAGAACACAACACGAACTTCACAAAAATGGCTCTCGAAAAACTATGAAAAATGTATGAATGTAATGCAATGAATAATAGGAGTTGTGAAGTAATTTGTTGTGAAAAGCAGACCCAAACACCTCATTTTATAGTGGAAAAATAGGCTCCAACGGGTAGGAGTTGAATGGGGGTGATTGGCATAATTTGTGGGATTTGATTAAAATTGGATCTTCTGAAAATCACCAAAACAGTGTTGTCCATTACTTGGACATCGCTATTCTAGGCTTGGTGTTTGAAACTTGAGAAGCAACGGTCAAGTCAATAGCGATGTCCAGAAGGCCAACATCGCTGTTTTGGCTGTTGACTTCCAAACATGGAAAGTCTTAGCCATAAATTCCTTCCAATGATCAGGTGCCTACATCGATGTTCATTACTTGAACATCGCTGTTCAGGCCTGACTTTGAAGAATGAAAGGTGGCCTGACATCGCTGTTGCTGGGTCAACAGCGCTGTCAAAAAACATTCTGCTAAAGGCATTTTATTTTGGCTTAGGTTGAACATCAATGTAGAGATGTCTACATTACTGTTCCAGATGTTTCTAGAATTTCAACCTTGGCTCAACAGCAATGTCCATTGACCAACATCGTCGTTGGAAGACTTAACACCAAACCATGGTTTTCAGCTGCCAACGCCATACAGCGCTGTTGGTTACTCCAACATCGCTTTTGGGCTGGTTTAGCCAGACCCATGGCTGGTTAGTCATGCCGTAAGCCGATGTCAATAATCAAAGTTCTCCAAATTAAATACCAAGTGTTGAAAACATTTTTTTATTGTATTTTGCTAAGAAATCAAGTGAGACATCTTAAAAACCACGTCATTTAGGTAAAAACCACGGCTAGCCATGTTTATGCTGTTTCGCATGGTTTTTACCAAACGACGAAAAACGAGAGGTGGTTTTTGAAGAGTATTTGTTGGAGAACTATTTAAATGTTCCCAGAAGTAAAAAAAATCATAAAAAGTTGAAAACCACTTGGTTGGTTCGGACGCCAAAAACCAACGCCGGTTTCTGAAAGCCGAACGCCGGATGGCTTGGTTTTTGGTTTGGGCAAAAACCAAGTGTTTTAGACTTATTTAAAACTTATGAAAATTATTTTTGAATATGCAAAAAGGTATTTTAGTGCAATGAGCCTAGAGAGCCAAGTTTAGAAGTTTATGCCTGTCTTGATCACATTAAGACTGACTCACTAATTTATAAGTCTTCGTTCTTGGTTCTTGGTTCTCATTTTCAATTCATCATCACGTCATATTTCTTCGCCTTTGATTTGCTTAATTTGCTCTAGTTTTTTCGGCGGTTTGGCATGATCAAAACCTGTCATAAAACGAACACGGTGTAGTACGACGTAGGCGTAAACCCGTGTTCCAACATAATGAAGCTGATCCACTTGTCTAACAAAATGAGCAGCTGGGTTCCAGACATTGTGACATTCTAAAACTCTGAAAAGTGCCAAGTGTTTGTTCTTAGAATCTGACCTAGCACACAAATGAAAGGATATATGGAATTTTTACTGTCTATTAAACTAGGGATACAAGAAGTAAAATCACTCCTTTACACAACAACAATGAAATGAATAAATACTGATGTCTCTTAAAAGTAAGAAGAGAAGTTTATTCTAAGGTACTAACATCAAATGGAAGGGAACCTTACACTTCAAAACACATTTACTCATCAGTCTCATAAGAATTGGATTTAATTTAGCTAATGAAATGCTCGAACTCAGTCTTAGTGAAAAATTGATAAAAGGGAACCTGAGAGATTAAGCCCAAACTTGAAGAGATGAGCGCCGATCTAGGGTTAATACCCTGAGTCCGTCGAGATAGTGCATAAATTACTTAGTCGGATGAGTCTGGAGGAAGACGACAACGGTAGCTTCTGATTTCGACAGAGACAACGCTTGAGACGATGTTGAAGACGACGAGACGGGTCACAAAAACTACCCAAAAGCTATGAAAAAATTGAAGAATGATTTGCAATGAAAGAGTAGGAGTTGTGAAGTAATGTAATGTGTAAAACAGACCCAAACACCCCATTTTATAGTAGAAAAATAGGCTCCAACGGACCAAAGTATTTAAGGGGTGATTGGAAAAATTTGTGGGATTTGATGAAAATTGGATCTGTTGAAATTCACCCAGACAGCGCTGTCCTAGGCTTGGACATCGCTGTTCTAGCCTTGCGTTTTGAAAAATGGGAAGCAACGGTCATGCCAACAGTGATGTCTAAAATCCTTACATCGCTGTTTTGGCTGTTGACTTCCAAACAAGGAAAGTTTTAGCCTTAAATTCCTTCCAACGGTCAGGTCTCTACATCGATGTTCCATACTAGAACATCGCTGTTTAGGTCTGCCTTTGAAGATGGAAGTTTGGCCTGACAGCGCTGTTTCTGGGTCAACATCGCTGTCCAAAAACTTTCTGCCAATGCACAATATCTTTTGCTTAGGTTGGACACCGCTGTAGGGAAGCCTACATCGCTGTTCCAGAAGTTTCTGGAAATCCAACCTTGGCTCAACAGCGATGTCTAATGTCCAACATCGCTGTTGGTGGACTTAACGCCAAACCATGTTTTTAGCTACCCAAGCCAGACAGCGTTGTTGGTTACCTCAACATCGCTGTTGGGCTTGTTTAGCAAGACCCATGGTTGGTTTAGTCACGCCGTTAGCCGATGTCAAAAACACAAGTTCTCCAAATTAAAAACCAAGTATTGAAAACATTTGTTAATTGCATTTTGCTAAGAAATCAAGTAAAACATCTTAAAAACCACGTCATTTAGTTGAAAACCATGACTAACCAAGTTTGTGCCGTTTCGCATGGTTTTCACTAAACGACCAAAAACGGAAAGTGGTTTTTGAGGCGTTTTTGTTGGAGAACTATTTAAATATGCCCAGAAGTAAAAACCAGTCATAAAAAGTTGAAAACCATTTGGTTGGTTGGGATGCCAAAAACCAATGCCGAAAACCGAGAGCCGAACGCCGATTTCTGAAAACCGAACGCCGGATGGCTTGGTTTTTGGTTTGGGCAAACTCCAAGTGTTTTCAGGCAGGTTTAAGACTTAAGAAAATCATTTTGAATATGCAAAAAATATTTTGATGAAATGAGCCTAGAGAGCCATGTTTTGAATGTTTGTGCCGGTCTTGATCACATTAAAACCGACTCAATATAATTCTAAGTCTTCGTTCTTGATTCTTGGTTCTTGGTTCTCAGTTCATCATGCCATGTTCCTTCGCCTTGGTTTTGCTCAGTTTAACCTTGTTATTGTCACGGCGGTTTGGCATTATCAAAACCTGTCATAAAACGAACACGGCTTAGTACGACATAGGCGTAAACCCGTGTTCCAACAATTTCCCCCTTTTTGATAATGGCAAACAAGACGGGAATATGCATATTAAGGTATATTTGACTTTGAAAAGAGTGAAAAAGTTGCCCCTTAATTTGTGCTTAAAAAAAATTTGTCATATTAAAATCAAACGATCCCGTTTTTAGGGACGTTCCCCCTTAGTGTATGCATAACCCTTTTCTTCCCCCTTTTGACATTAACAAAAAGATAGAGGATAACTTGTATTTATTGAAAAAAGGGAAATAGCGGAGTACAACGGAAGCATTTAAAAAAAACAGGATAATTAAAATAAAAGAGATAGAAATTCTAGGGGCGTCCTAGTCTTCGTCTTCGGTTTCCTCCTCCTCGTCGTCGACGTCCATCTCATCACTGGCAACGGCGTCGTCGAACTCGTCCTCGTCCAGGGAGCTTGACGGGTCGTAGGAGGCATCATCTTCGTCCTCGTCACCGTACACCTGCCCAAAGAACATGACATGGTACGATGGGGGGACGTAGTTAACGTGTTGGAAGTACGCGTTCATGGCGTACCCTTGACGTTGGACTGCCTCGTCAAGTCTTTCAAGGTAGCCATCCATCCCATCAACTTTGAAGTGCAGCCGGTTGAGAGAGTCATCAATGGAGGCAAGGTTGGACCGGGCCTGGGGTTCGGCTGGGCCAGCAGCAGAACGGGGCCGTGGCACGACAGTGGCACGTCCGGCGTTGTCCGACCGCTTCTTGAAGGTTTGGGTGCTGATCGCCCAAATCTTCGTGGCCTTTGTGAGTGGGCCAACGGTGGTGGTCACCTTGAACCATTCAAGGATGTCCATCACCACGAACGGGTACGGGAGGAGGTGATCGTGGTCGGTGGACGCGGCAATCGTCATGTTGATCATGACAAACTTTGCCCAATTGATTGGGGCCGAGTGCATGATCGCATGGATGAGCTTGAGGTCTTCACCGGACATGATGGTGTGGCCGTGCTTCCTGGGTTTGATGATCCGGGAGACGATGTAGAGAAGAAGATGGCCTTCGGGGTGAGCGGAGTGGATGGTTGGGCGGCCCGAGGCATGGCGGATGAGCTCGGTGATCCCAAGCTCGTTGAGGATAAGGCCCTCGTTGTTGAGCACCCAGTCCTCTCCGCCATAGAGGGAGACGTTGTCGCCTTGGTAGGGGAGGCTGGCGATGCGCCCAAGCAGCTTAATTGAAAGTTCTATCGGCGTGCTCTTGACAAGAGAATAGAGCACGTCGCCCTCACGCCGGAGGTTGGAGTAGAAGACCCGAATCAGCGCTGGGTTGATCTCCTTCCGAGCCCGGGAGACGAAAGGCCAAAGGCCGGCCTGATGAAGCTGCGCGTCGAGGTCGTCGTAGCCCTGCAGCTCCGGGTAGCGCTCCGGGATGATCCGTGGAGGAGCCACAACCCGTTTAGAGAAGAAGGTGAGGAAACGGGTGCGTTCCTCCTCGGAATCAAACCAAAGGTATGACCCGTCACCATAGTAGAGGCGTTCCTCGGTGGATGTCGTAGGCGCCCGGGATTTGGACTTTGATTTCCCGGAGGTGGCAACCCTGCTCTTGTCCTTGCCCATGATAAGAAAACTTAAGAGAAAAGAGTAGAGATGATGAAATAAGCAAAGATGTTGAAGAGAATTGTGTTTGTGTGTGTAAAAGTGAAGAGAGGAGGTCCCAATTTATAGAGAAGGAGGTCTCCAACGTCCAGATTTTCAAAAAAAATGGCTGTTGGAACAACTAATGCTGGTGCCAACGGATATTTTTTTGAAAAATTTATCCAGAACAGCGATGTTCCAAAGGCTACATCGCTGTTGGGACAGCGCTTTTGAGCCTCTGGACAGCGCTGTTATGCGTCAAGTTTTAAAAACAAGTGTTAAATGGGCAGCGATGTTGGGTTCCCTACAACGATGTTCCAAATCATTCTGGAATTGTCTAAGGGGTTGAACCCATTAATACAGCGCTATTGGGTTTCTCTATATCGCTGTTTTACGATAGAAAAAAAATTTGTAAAAGTGGACATCGATGTTGAAAGTGGGACATCACTGTTTAAAAAATTTCTGGTTTTGGTTGAAAACAAGGTGTTTTGGGTGGACAACGATGTTTTAGGTTGGAACAGCGGTGTTCAAAAAGTTTCTGGAAAGTGAAGAGTAAGGGACTCCCTGGGACAGCGCTGTTGGCGTGTTGTACAGCGCTGTTGGCACAAACTGGTTGACGGTGTTTCTCTCAACAGCGTTGTTTGGTCTCTTGGACAGCGCTGTTTGCATGGTTCCCCCTGATTTCATGAACGGGGTACCTGCAAAAAAAGAAAAAAGTTCTCCGACGCTCAAGTTAGTAAGCGTTTAATAAGTTTAGATGCATAACTTAGATCATCGTGGAGTCAAGGATTCCGAGTTCACTTCGAATGCGGAAGAACGACTCTTTCTCTAAAGGTTTTGTGAAAATGTCGGCTAATTGGTTGTGTGTTTCAACAAACTCAATTTCGACATCACCTTTGAGAACATGATCTCTAATGAAATGATGCCTAATGTCAATGTGTTTCGTCCTTGAGTGAAGAACGGGGTTCTT